ATAATTTATAGCAAACTTTTTACATACTTGTCAAAACCATGTATATAAGGTTAGTTTTACTAATATTATAGCAATATTAACAATAAAAATAAGAATTCCAACTATAATTATTTTACTATGCAATTATAGTCGTAAATACCAAGCATATTTCTCTCAGTGTGTGCTCGAGACGTTACATGTGTGTATTACCAGGACGAAAAAAAGAGAATGTGTATTCTAAAGGATTAAGAATTTTCACACAAACTTACCATGAACTCCGACGCAGCCTTCTGTTATAAGTATCAATTTCTCAGGATAATCTTGCTTTACTTCATCAAGGACAATCGGACTGACTTTATAGTCAAAGTACATATGAACCGCGATTCCCGAAACGATGTTACGAGCTTCTGCTTTCTTAAACACTTTTCTCGGCCGAGACGGAAGCACTAGTCTGTTTTCGTCCATTATAAAGATCTTGATGTGATGGAAATTATTCTTCTTCAGTGTTGGCCACAAATAATCGATAATCCAATCGCGTTCTTCCTCGGCGGTCATGTGCATTCCGTTAAGAAGTGAGTCTGGTTGAATATATAAGTTGTTCATCGGTTCGTTCTGAGACGACAAACCCCAGAATCGTATACCGACACGCTGATATGCCGCAATATATCTACGAGAATAAAAAATATCTTGTTTGATTCGATTGTGTGAGTTTTTCTGTTTACTCGCGGCAAATTTTGAAAGGTATAAAAGGTTTTGTAAAATGATCATTATAAAATATGTTTTTATCTTTATACGTATATATGTGTATATTTTACATGTAAAAACTAAATCGTTGCCGTCTGGTTAATCAATGAATAAAATTATTAGAAAAATAATAAGAATAATTGCAAAGTAAGATAAAAAAAAGCAAATATTAGAATATAATAGCAGCTTGTAGAAATATGTTACAATCACATGTTACTTTACGAAATAATCTGCCCATAGTTGTCGATATTCCGAGCGCAGTGAACTGTTCCAGGTCCAAGTGTCAACTGTTTTCATCCAAGGAGTAGCGCTCCACGGTAGTGTCAGTAATTTAATCTTATGCCTTTTCATTTGTTGTGCTCTTTTTATTACCGGTATCTGGTTTAACAATTAAAATACTTAAGTAATTATATATATATATTTTTTACTTTGCAGTCACTCTAAGCTTTATTCAAAATATTTTACTTAATAGTTCCGTTTCTTCAATATATGACACACTAGTTTTACCGTACTTTTTATTTTACAAGAACAGTAACAGCAAATAACTAGAAAACAAATTTACACATATATAAATAAGGCAACCTTGTAAACGATATCTTCCATTTGTAATTCGAAATGTTCAAGCGTTGTATCGTTTGGTACCATTGCATAAGAATATGGTCTTGTTGAGAAATCCGTACCACCCATTGGTGCTCTGAGCATATTATAGTTAATACCATTCTGACCAAAGTAGCTTCTAAAAATATAAAAATACAGATATTATTGTTTAGTAAAAGCTGACTTTGTGGAAGTGTTTTTTTTATATAAACAAAGAAAACATTGACTGGCAATTAGTCTGTTTGAATATATACGTTTGAATATATAAAGTACAAGAAATGCATCTAATGCATGGATAACGCAAACGATAATTATTCTAATGAAAAACACAATTCTTGGTGCAACAAAATGTTAGTATAAAAGAAACATACTCTACGCTGTATTCAAACGATTATTTATTACATAACAACTCTACGATTTTATAGTTTTGAATTTTGATCTTTTATTATAACGTCACTAAAGAAGAACCGAATCAGAGTCGAAACGTATGGATACTACTTAGTAAATAAATTGTTTCGGAACTGATGTCCGATGTTTGACTTTTGTTGAACTTTTTGTGTTTAATTAATTATATTAAATTTAAGAGCCGGTAAAGTTTTTTGTAATTAAGTAGAATTCAGAGAAAAAGTAAGAGAGAGAAAATGAGCGACGGGAAGAGAGAAAGAGAGAGAGAGAGAGAGAGAGAGAGAGAGAGAGAGAGAGAGAGAGAGAAACAGAGGAAATAAGAAAAATTTATAAATTTATTATACCGCAACAAATTATCGGATGCATTTGTAGTTAACTTCAGGATATTTAGACATGCTGAATCGGTCACTGCTCCACCAAACCCCAAAATTTCTTGATAGTTCTCTCTCCGTCTGATGATAATTCTTCCTAATAAAAATAAAGTTTTTTCTTAAAAGTTTTAAGTCATGTTTAGACACTCACAACATTCTATATCAATTAATGTCTTAGTACTTGCAAGAAATATATTTATAAATCTTTACCGTCGACATTGTCTCTTGATATATCTTTTCTAAATATACCGTTTGACATATGAAATCGCAAGCCACTTTTGCTCGAAGTTATGAGAGCATATCTGGCAGAAGTGCGGAATGGTTTGGTCGCGTCTGGAGCTTCATCGCAGTACGTTGCATTGCAAACGCAATAATGTCCATCGTCCTGTCCTGTTTCTTGCGATGGGCGTTTAACGCACTTATTCAATGCCTCAACTACGTAATAAAAAATATAGCATTTATTTTTACTTTTTTGGTCTATTCCAATTTGTGTAATTAAAAAGTATGAGTGGTTATAAATTAGTAGGAAAAGACTTAGAGAGCCTGTGATCCAAGTTGGCAGTGGACAATCAAACAATTGTGCAATGTATTCTGGATGTTTTGATCAAATTTTAATTAATGATTATTTTATTTTCAGCAACTAACTTATAACAAGTCATCACAGAGACCGTTTACTGCGCATCTACAAGTGCAAAACGAGCTAAAAGAACCCATAACACTGACATACAAACAACAAAGTATGATGTTTACGCATCGGAGGTTCTTAACTGCAAGATTAAAAAAACCGAATTGAATTATCACTATATTCGCCAACACACAGAGAAACGGAACAAAGCACGATCATCTTACATAACACACATATTGTTTCGAGTAATTATAATAAGTATTTAACCGTTATATATTAAATTTTTGTAACAAAAATGTTTGTGCTAGTAAAAAATTTTTTTTACATTAAGTTTTGTTGGATACACTTCAAAATATAAGTTTATTTTACAAACTCATATTTTCACAATATAATGTACGAGATCACGAAAGTTTCTGTGAGATATGTGCGCGTTGAAAAATTACGTAACACGTGGCACATAGAAGAAGAAGAGATATCGTCTGGTGAGAGAAGTATTCTAGTACGTAATCACACATAATACAATTGATCTTTTTTCTCGATAGTAATATCACATGGCAACACACACGCTAGTGACATACGTAATATAAAAAGTGTATGCGCACACGTTTGCGCAGTGTAATTCGAATTGTGTAACAAATGAAGTAACTGGTTTACTCCAACAATTTTTACATATATTTTGTACATACATATGTTTCAATATTTTTTTACATAAATATTAAGTGTAACAATGCTAGATTACTTTAAAAAATTAAAAAAAAACGTAATAAATTTTGAAAGTTAATCAAGTCAAGATATTAGTTTTAAGACGTTGTTTTATCGTATGTGTGTATTAATTGGGCTGTTGTGAACCATTGTTGCAGGATGTTGTGCAGTGAAAAACAATATTGGAGATAAAGTTAAACGTTGTTTTATCTTTTAAAATTTTTTAAACAGCACGTCAAGAACTACAAACCTGAATTTTTTTGTGTTTAACCACGCAAGTCGATTGTTCGAAATTAATTTCGAACAATTGTAACTTGTCTTTTGTACATAAGTATAAAATGCAAACTATTGCAAGGTATCTAATTATTGCGAAGTCGATACTTGCTGAGAGCAAAACTATCTTGAAATGCATGGAAAATACGTACTGTGATGGAAGTAATTGACGTGTACGATACTCTACATATTTATATACATATACATACTTAAAGAAATTACAGAAAAACACAAACGGAATACACATTTAAAATAAATAAAAAATAAAAAAAAGTCAAATCAAGCCGAAAAAATTGACAAAATTTATAAAATCAATTTACTCACTAAGAAAATGAAAAGTACATAATTTGCGCGGACAATTTGAATGTTTTTACTAAAGTCTTAAGAAACAAATAAAAAATAAAACACATGGACATATAAAAATATACTCAAATATGTTTAAAAAACATATACATATATAAAATGAAATTACTTATAATAAAAAACTTAACTCGGAATAAACATTTTAAATCGTAAAAGTCGCACGTACTACAAAGGTCGAAATAAATGTCAAATAATTTTTTGTATCATATAAATAAGTCACTTATAAAGTGACTTATAAATAGATCTTTAAAAAAAGAACAAAACAAAAAGAATAAGTGTCACCTGTTATTAACAACGTAACGACGAGTACAGCAACGCACCGCATAGCGAACGCACCGAAGCTGAAGACAAAACAGGTCGTGCCTTTAAATTCTAATTTCACATACGCACACATACGCACACACACGCAATTGATTTACACAAAGAAACCAATGAGAAGATATCAAAGTACTATATGTGCTGTAATACATATTGTAAAGCGTGATATACTGTGTAATTACTCAGATAACATTTCTTGCGTGCAAAGTTTGCGCATGTTAAATATGTAAATTTTGTATGAGATTTGCCTGTGTGAATTTTGTTTGTAAATATATTTCATCGCGCACGCGCGTGCATGATGCGCACACAAGAAACTATTTCATATCTACCCAATATACCAGCAGATAACGCGCAAATAGCTAACATTGCAAGTTATTTACTCTTAATTTGACGGTATATTACATATCTAAGATGCATGAGTCGTTCTTGTGTGTGATGACTGGATATTCACATACAAAATGCTATCTAGATTTACTGGTTATATGCTGTTCATATGACGACACACTGAGATACGATTTTACTCGGAAAATGTTATCTAGGTATGTGACATTCGATAAACATACTTAAAAGAGCGCAAACAATAATAATAATGTAATAAATTAATAATTTTAATAAACAAAAATATTTAAAGCATCCGGGGAAAAAATTTTATGAATGAACAAATTTGATATGTCTGACTATAATTATATTATATACAATTATAATAATTATATGATACACACACACACACACACAAGTATATACTACAATTATTATAAATACTTATATTATATACGATTATATACAGATGAACTGTTTAATTTGACACAAAAAAAATGAAATTGAAATATCACAAGAACTAGGCATTTTCAAAAAAAAAAAAAACGATTTTGGATAAAACGTGTTTGGTTTCGAGATGAAATTGACATTAATTGTTTTAATTAGTCAACATTTTCAAGATCAATCTAAGATCAATTTTTTTTTTTTAAGAGAAACCCATACTTTTGTTTACGACATTTTATTAAACAATACCAAACCAAACTTGTTGTGTGTGCTATTTAAGAAGTCAGTTCTGTCAGTATTAACTTTTTTAAGGTTATATTTATCTTATTTATTTTGTCTTGTCTTTCTCTAAGAATCTAATTGTAAGATAAAAGGAAAAATATATACTTTTGTCTCTTGTTACCAGTCGGTCGCTAACTTGAAAAAGAAGAAAATAATTTCGAGCTCTCTTCGACGTATCAGTTACACGTACTCAAAATTAGCAGAAAATCTCTTTATACTAAATCACGAGTGCTCCTTTGATTACTGTAAAATTTTTATCAGTTTCTTAAGCAGTTTGGAATTATGTTGTATCTATACAGAAAGAGAAAGTGTTTTTTTTGGTAAAATTACGATACTTGAAATATATTATACGTAACACTAGAAAAAGAGAGAGAGAGAGAGAGAGAGAGAGAGAGAGAGAAAGAGAGAGACTTTTTTTTTACTTAAAATTATATTCGTGTCTTTTCACTTTGCCGTAAGAGCAACTCGTTAAAATTTTTCGCGGCGCTGGATATATTTTCCGTAATCGCGCGCGCGCGCGACGACCTTATTTGCTTCACAAATTAATCCGTAATCTTATTCGGAAAGTTGATTTTTAAGAATTCTTATTGATCGATAAGAATTATTATTAAGAACGCAACAGTATTCATATCATTTTTCCCGTTACAATTTTTAGTATCTATCGTTCTTTATGTATGATCGAAGACATGTATATGCTCCTTCTCGCGTCTTACAAAGTTGTTAGGAATATTAATGATAATATATTATATATTATTCGAGTTGATTATTTATTAAAAAATCAGATTTAAAAAATAAAATTTGTAATTTACGTTTTTTTTGTAATTTTTTAAATTAGTGATTAAAATTGCAAATTTTATTACTAAAAAAAAGTTTGCTTCGCTGTCGTTCACGGAAAAAACAGTTTTATTGAGATAACCAAAATTTGGTAAATCAAAACAAATAAAGTGTTCTGGAAACCAAATTTCGGTTCAGATTACCAAAATTTGTTAATCTCAACAAAACTGTTTTTTCAGTTTTGTTTATACTTCGCTTTATACATATATGTATAGATATATCGGTAAATGCAACATAAATTTATAAACATGCGATATAGCGAAGATACATTTCACTAACGTTACGTAGCGTTTTGGAAGCGTAAGTTGATTATTTTTAAAACAAATTTACGCAGTATTGTTGCCGTTGTTGCAACATTGATACCAGAAAATGAATCAACGGTTTAAGGTCGATACGGCGAAGAATTTATGCTACTAAAATGGATGAGTTACAAAAGAGATACATTGTTACTTTATATCTTTCAACACACACACAAATAATTTAAAAGAAATAACAGAATGATATCCGCTTATTGCCCGCAAAACCTGTAATTCTCCAAACACACAATATAAATATTTATTGAAATTGTTTTTATTTTTCTCAGTATCCATAAAAATCTCCATAAAAATGAATTTTTGATAAAATTCTGCACTAAAACGTGTTATCAGAACACGTTCGACATTCCATGCGATAAATTGTTTCAATAATTTATGTCACGAATGAATTTTATCTTGCATCATCTAAAAGTTAAATATTTTGTAATGTACGCAAATAAATGACTTGTTAGCATGTTAATCTTATCTTGCTAAGAAATTCTAAGGCTATTTTCTCATTAAAAATATACAACACGTTGCTCAGTTTTATAAATTGTGCGCAAATAAATTAGTGTGTGATAAACACATAAAAATAACAATTATTTATTTTTTATAAATTAAATTACATGTATACACGTTTCGATTTGCGCGAAATTCATCAGTTGTTACGCTGCCGGCCAGCGTCACTTAATTACGAGATCTTCTCTACGTCTCGAGAACTCGGTGTTACAAGAACTAGCGAAACGAACGGGAATGTAAGAAAGAAAAGAGGGGATGGCAACGGAGGCTTTCGCACGGAAAATTTAAAGTCCGTAGATGGGCGAATCGCTTGTTGATGTTGCTGTTATCCATCTTAGGCGCGGCACACAAGTAAGGATCGGGAACGATCGATCAAAAATTGATGAAACCACGCTTCTCCGGCAGAGAAGACAGTAAATTCGACGTCCCCCCAGACGTGAGGCAGCTCGATAATGGCGTCCCGGTGAGGACGACGAGGAACACGAGATCGAAGAGGACGGGCCAACAATTTTCCGCCACGCGAGAGTCTCTACATCTTTTATCTGTTCTCGTCGAGACGAGAGCGCGCTAGCTCGAATCGATCGATTCGTCGTGTGTCGTAAATTATACTTGCAGTCATCATAATACGTCGGTTGTAGTAGATACTATAACTAGTAACCGAGAATTTTGCGGCATATTTCGGAACACGAGAAACTCTGCCGCGCTCTTTCTCCGGAAAGAGAGAGAGAGAGAGAGAGAGTTAATTACTCTTCATTTTCATTCACTTCAAAAACTCCTTCGGTTTCTTCGGCGTTCGACGTTGAAAAGTTCGGCGAAGTTTTCGTGAAAATTAACCGCAGGCCGTGGTAAAGCACATCCGGTCGTAATTGGAAAGCTGCTAAATCAAAACTGATGAAATTTTTCTTTGACACGAATGATACTTGTCTCGTTTGTTTCCGTCGCTCGCTATCTCCATGGGAAAAATTGGATTAGATAAATGAAGTTGGTATTCGAAGAAAGTGTTTTGTACATACTTCTATAATGAACCAATCACTGTCGATCACTGTCCCGAAGATGTTCTTTGATATGTAAATAAAAATTACATTAAAATTAAATAAAAAACAAAAAAAAACTTGCATTACAAACTGTTATATTTTATAATAAACCGAAAATTTTCCTATATAACACATCACACATAACAATTGATATTCTACATAAACACGGTATATCGAACAATAATATCGAATTTGTCTCTACATGACCGCGTCTGATCGTGTGTATAATTGCATATGACAGCATGTATAATATTGTGTACACATGGCCATATAAAAAAAAACTTAATTAAAGTTAAATTAATTAATTTTAATCTCTTTATTGTAGATATTTATTTTCTTTTTTTACTCAAACTAATTTTATAAAATATTTTTTACCTCTGAATAACGAAGTGAAAAGAGGAGATAAAAAAATTTTTTTTTTTTTAATTTATAGACGCCCGCTTTATAAGTATGTTGCGAAAAATTGCCACAAGTCACGTTCATTTTGCATTTAATTATTTATTTAATATGTTAAACACACTAATTGGAAAGACGCACGAAATATATGAACGAATCAATGCTTTTGAATACCACACACACATATACACACATACATGTAATTCTTACGCTTATTTTCGGTGCAAAACAGCAATAAATAAACGGGAATCTCGGGATTTTTGCGTAATAATAACGAGGCGGATTAAGACGACGGATCCTCACGTGATAGATGGTCGACAACGCGCGAGATTCGCGCGAAGCGCAATTCTCTACCGTCGGTTTTAATCTCCATAAACTCGGCCGCATCTAGAAATGTCCTCGCGAAAATCCACCGACGACAAAGCGCACGACGACGCGCATTACGATGCGCGATGTGAGGGTCGTTGCGGGAATTAAGGAAGCTGCGCGAACTTCCAAATTACCGACATGTTCGTACGAGCGAGTATAATACAAAATACATATACGTAGCATCTCGTAGCAATCCCGGAAAATAATTAGCGTTCAAAAATCATTCGAGACAGCGAGCGAGAATATCGCGAATTATTCGCGCTCGATTTCGTGGATAAACGCTGCAAACTGTCGCGAATAAAGCAGTTTTTGAATCGCAATAATCGATTCAACGTTGTGTACGACGTCGCGCAAAATATAATTGTTTACTCGCTGTGAAAAGCGTCGTTTTAATTCGAGCAAACTGCAGAACGCGGAGAAGAATTACATTAAATTTATTTTCTTTTTGTTTCCTTCTGACACTTTGACACACTTTACTGCACCCTGATGTTCATTTTTTTATTTTACACTATATACTCTGCAGCAGTCTCTGCTTTTATCTGTTTCTCTCTCTGCGTCAGAAGGCCTATTAATTAAAT